GCAGGAGGAAGGGTGAGATTTTAGCTCTGAGCTCTGACTTCTTGGCTTTCTCTGTTACATTGTTTCTGTGTTTCTTATTTAATAAGACGGTTGGTTACATCTACAACTGGTCACTGTGTTTGCAGAAGTACTTTCAGTACAGAAAACTCAATCCTTATACTTCTCAAAGGGAAAGAGGATGGTAAATAAGTGCGTAGCTGTCTTTCTGAGGCTTTTGATTCACTCTTAAATAGAGTCAGTAGAAATACTCATGGCACAGGACAGTTTTCTCCTACTCCAGGTTGAACAGCTGTATTGTTAAGTATTTTCTTGTCATAAATTGCTTGGCCCATTTTTTTTTTTTTTTACATTTGTCTACTGATGGCTTTCATCTTCCCTACTGTTCCTTCCATTTGTGCCCCAGACTTAGACAATCTCTGGGCACTTGCTATAAAGCTTGAGTAAGTAGAAACTGTTACCACAGTGGCTTCACTGGGCTTGTGTAGCAAAACCAGAGAGTCAGTGGCTCTACCAGTTCAGTTTTTGTGGGTACAGGCCTCCAGGTGAGATGCCCAAGATATCCAGGTTCCAGGGGAAAGGTTTCATCTGAGGCCTCTTCTCTCAGCTTGTAGGTACCCAGCTGCTCACTATGGCGTGGTCACATCGTATGTGAGTTGTGGGGGCTGCACTCTCTGCTTTTGTCACATAAGGACAGCAGTTGCCTTCCAGAAGGCATCACTCCCAATAGAGATTATGTTTGGACATCTGGCGTATCCATGGTGGGGAACTAGGAACTACAAACACTCAGTCTACAGCACTCCACCTCTTAATGAGAAAGCAGTAAGGAATCTGTAGCCAGGTTTTCAGACTGCCAGTTACCTGGTGTGCCATGGTGTTAATGGACCTCCCCTGTGGAGAATTGCAGGGTACTGACTGCAAAGAACCCACACAAGCCCTATCCTTTTATAATACCAGGCTCAGGGTTGAGGTCCAGGATCATGAGGGCATTGCTCCACTATATTTTATTGGGGACCAATAGTCAAATCCAGGAGAGACCTTCACTATTCTGCATAGAAATCTTCTCTAAGACCTGAGTGTTGCTCAGTAAGTAGCAAGATTAGCAGGTCAGTGCCAATCTCCAGCCCCAGAGAAGACTCTAGGGAGTGTCTGCAGGAAAAGGGATAGAAAAGGAAGAAATCTCTCTTTCTAGTCCAGGGGGCTCATTAGGGTTCATCAGGGCTCATCTCTATTTTCTATACTCTCACAGGTTGCCTTTCTATGGAACTAGCAAGGGGCCTCCTTTCTCCAACTTCCCCTAATATTTCTCTCAACTTCTTTCAATACTTTACTTCATGTCCCTCAAAGTCTATGATACTTCTACCAGCGCCTGGCCCTAAAATCAATGCAATATATTTATTCTGCATCTATAGATATTATAAAGTTACTCTCTTGTCGGGTACCAATCAGTGTTTCAGTTAGCAGGGCATGGTAGGGAGAGCCTTTATTTCCAGCACTCAGGAGGCAGAGGCAGGCAGATCTCAGGGAGTTCGAGATCTACAACTAGCCTGGTGTACAGGTGAGTTTCCAGTCACCAGGGCTATATAATGAGACACTGTCTCAACTCCCTACACACACACACACACACACACACACACACACACACACACACACACACACTCAGAAGCATAATCCTACCACCATCAATTGTACTCATAGATTCTCTGGGTGAAGAATTCAGATAGGGCACTCATGGTAACATAGCTGATCTCTTTTTCATGATATTGGGACTTCAGCTAAAAAGCTTTGAACAGGGTCTGGAGTGATGGTTCAGCAGTTAAGATCACTAAATCTCCGCCAGAGAACCTGGGTTCAGTTCCTGGTAGGCACATGGCGACTCACAGACATCTGTAACTCCACTTCCAAGGGATCTGATTCCTTTCTCTGGCTCTTGGGGCCCTAAACACGGAAGTGGTACACAGACATACTTGCAGGTGAAACATCCATACACATAAAATAAAAATTAAGATAAGAAGCTTTGATCACTGGAGCTGAGGCTATGACTCAAAGACTAAATCACTTGGATGCTTCATCAATCCTAACTGGTGCATTTGTGGGCTGTTTGGGAGCTGGTCTTGACTGGGAGTACCTGCAGGCAAACTTATGTGGGTCTTTCCAGCATGGAGACCTTCTGCTCCTGGTGCTCTCTCAGCTGCTGCTGGGAGGCCGGGGAAAGCACCTGAAAATAAACATGCCAACAGGAGGCACGAGGAGCCAGGCTCTGAGCATCTGCATGAGGTACCATTTCATTGCCTACGCATCTTCCCCATCTGCAACGTATCTGGGCTCCACTTCACTGATCTGAAAGTTGAGGATGTGGGAATAGAGATGCAGGGCAGCCCAGTTATTCTTCCCGACATGCAGGGAGACATAGTTGGCCATGAAGATCTCTATCATGGCTCGAGGAGCCTGGTCCATCAGCTTCTGAACCAGGCCAAGACGCAGGTGGGAATGCTTCACAGCCAGAGAGGTGATATGTCAGTGGGGTAAGTTGTCTGGATCTTCCGTTTTGGCCAGATCTTTCCATTCTCACCCTCAGCTATGTAAGAGAGCTGGGGTCAGGAGAGGCCATGATAGGAATGGTACTTCTTCTGGTAGTTCTGGGGAGGGCAGAGGAGGTTGTGGTGCTGGTCCTCGGATGTACCCAGAGGTTAGCAAACGGGTGCCTGCTCTCAGCTGCTGCTTGGGAGCAGGGCAGGAATGATGGATATACATATATTTTTAAAAAGATTTATCAACATAAGAAATACAGCTGATAAAATCTTTCACTGTAGCCACTTATGTACAAACAAATTGGAAAAACGAGTGCTTATTTCACCATTGTGAATGGAAAGGAAATCCAAGGTTGGTCAGGAAGAAAGTAGGTAAGCTTGGCATTTTCTTCAATGGAATGCTGTTCAGTACTTATGTGAAGACACTGCATGTACTATGATACCATATATCAGATCAAAATTGAAGAGAAGGGACTGAGCAAATGAACAAGTTGTAGCTACAAGATAATATCACTTTCTTTAAAAAGTTCAAACAGAAAATAATGCTATGACTTATTTACAGATATATTCATATGTTGCAAAGAGTAGAAAATATTCAAGGATGTGACCAGTGCAAAATTCAGCACGGTGGTGACCTTTGAAGGGTAATGTGCCAGAGAGGGGAATACATATCATTACACTACAAACTCTTTGTTTTATTCCTTATAAAAATATCTGATACTAGGGTCTGAAAAAGCTGGATAGTCAGTATGTGATATTTATTGTTTTAGTCTATATATTTTCTGCAGATTGAAAGTATTTCATAACAAAATGGGAAAATGGTTTGAGGCAATATTCTACCTTGGTTATTACCAAAAAAAAATCTGACCTCCAACAATTGTGTACTTCTAATATTTAAGGGTTTCCCTTTTCCTCTAGGATTGCACAGCGGTGCAAACATCAATAGATACATCATGGCTATGAAATACTGATAACGGGAGTAGCAGGTCTCCCACATATCCATTCCTTTTCTGCTTGTGAAAGCGAAGGTCCAAATAGTTTTCATTTATTCATCAACCACTTAGAGACTGTCCTACTGAGACAGCTACCATGATAAACAAGACACGAGCCTGACTTTAGGCTCCTGACTGACTTGCATCATGCTTGTATACACAATCATTCCACACCAGTGACAAATGCTCATGGAGGCTTATGCAAGGCTCCTGGGGAATGGAGAGTCCAGTAATCCAGCCACAGGGAGAGGACAGATTATCTGGAAGGCTTTGAGGAAGAATTCGGATGAGTCCTGAGCAAGAAGAAGAGAGAGAGGTAGGCAGGGAGTGTCAGTGAAGCCTGATACACAGAGTCAAGGTCCTGAAAGAAAGAACAGCAGTTGAAGCTTCTTGGAGACTGGGGTCAGGACCCCAGGACTCTAGACAGATGGAAATGAAGAATTCAGGCTCAGATCTCACATGGATAACATGTAACCCCCAGGAGCTTGGACACTACACAGAGAGCTTAGGAAGGGCCAGTGACAGATCCATTAGGAAGGAACAGAGTAGTAACAATTTTTGAGCCTTTTCCAAGAAATCTTCATGTGAAGATGGTCTACTCGCATAGCACAAGAGATCTCTGAGGCTTCCAGACCTCCTCAGTCACCCTGATCTAAAGAAAACCTGCTTCTGCCCTAAGTGAATGTTTCAGCAGGTTTACAGCTTCCTTGGTCACTCTGAAATGATAAAACTTGTTTATCAGGAAATCCTAAAACTCCAGCTCTAAAATCCCTTCTCCACTTCCTAATTGAAACAACCTGCAGAGGGGGAGGGGAGGTTTTTCTCACTCACTTCATTCTCAGTCATCAGTACCACACTGAACCCTTCCAAGGGTATAAAGGAGTTAGCTGAAGTGAGTCTTACTTGAATGATGCAGTCAGGGTGTGAAGCTAGGATCCCTCCCACACAGCAGGAGTCCAGAGCTGGCCAGATATCGGTGTGTGGTCCTCTAAGATCCCACACTAAAGGCTGGATGGCGACCTTTCTCCTGTCATACATAGTGCCTTCCCGTCAGTTGCTGACTTCTCCCATTAGGAAAGGTGACAGCCTCAGGTTTTTGCTGGCGTCTACCGCACATTTAACGGTCCTCCTGGAGGAGTTAGGGTGAGCCAGGCGAGCTGTCCTCGGTACTAATTCGAGTCCGCTGCGAACAAAGACCTTTAACCGCTAGAAACGGAAGCACAGAGTGGATCTCCCTACTGCCTCTCCCGCAGATCAAGACCCAACCTCTTATCTTTAAACTCACACATGAGTCATCCTGAGTCATCCCCACATTCTCTGGATTCCAGAGAACAGTTGCCAAGCTCTCTGAAATCCCGTGAGCTCTTCTTACTCTGCCTCAGTGAGAAGTCCTCCACCCCAGTCTGTTGGGGGTAAACTCTCCTACAAACACATCAGCACAGCGCGGCAGACCCAAAGCCCTCCCTGCGCCCGCCCTTCCTGGTTCACTCAGGTCTTCTTTATCCTCTGGGAAGATGGTGTGGGTCAGCGCTGACAAAACTAGTCTTAGGTTTTTCTCAGCTTGGCTTACTCACATGAATAGTCTGAAAGGGGGAATGTTAAACTCTGGCCTCAGGGCAAATCTGGCCCACCACCTGTTTGCGTAAATAAAATGGTCCTGAATAAGGAACCGCTCATTCATTTCCATATGACTGTGGCTCCTTTGAAGCTACAGCGGCTAGTAGCAACAGAGACGGTATGGCCTGCATGCCTAAATACTAATCATCTGGCTTTTTATAGAAAAAGGTTCCCGGCCCCTGTTTCAGAAATGTATTGCTCAATATGGTGGCAACTAACAATATGTGAATTTAAATTTAGATAGTTAAGAAATGTAGTTTTTGCCAGGTGTGGTGGTTGAATGGAAAAAAAAAAAAAAACTAAAAAGGAGGCCATGACTGCTCTTAGGTGTGGTGGAGGAGGTTTATTGTAGATAAAAGAGAATGCATAGCCAGAGGCAGGGACATCTGGGAGAGTCCAGAGTGGACATGACCCTGAACCATGAGAGGAGAAGGGGGCGGGGAGATGGGAGAGCCAGGAGACCAGGAGAACAAGAGGTCAGGAGGGTAAAGGGTAAAAAAAAGGGTCCATAGCCAGTAGCCAAAATGTCTGGATTATCTAGGGAAGAGCCACAGCAGAAGGATGTTCCAACCCCTGGGCTAGAGAGTTCAGGGTAGAGGATGAGTATGCCAGCCTGTAACAGGTAGGGACTGGTGGATGCTGGAGGAACTTGTTGGCCGGGCCCGTTTTGATAGGCACCTCAGTTTACCTTAGTCCTGGGTTTGAGACCTAACAGTGGTCATACCTGCAATACCAGCAATGAAGAGACAGAAGCGGAGGCAAAGGCAGGATCATGGAATAGATGAGTTCATCAGGCTGAAGAGATGGAGTGCTTCCTGCTCTTGCCGAGAACCAGAGGTCAGTTCTCAGCACCCATGCCAGGGGACTCATTACCATACGTAACTTCACCTCCAGTGGACCTGATGGCCTCTTCTGACCTCTGCCAGCACCTGCCCAAACCCACAAACAGATCCACACGCATATACACATAATTAAAAATACAGAAACCTTTTTTTTTTAAAGTATGAGGTCAGCATGGGCTACATAGCAAGATATTTGCTCAATAACCTAAACACAAACACAAATAAAACACAAATGTAGTACCCTAGAGCTGTGGGATAATGCTTTTGTACACTGGTTTAATAAAACACTGATTGGCCAGTAGCCAGGCAGGAAGTATAGGTGGGATAAACAGATAAAGAGAATTCTGGGAAGAGAAAGGCTGAGTCAGGCCGACTGTCCAGGAAGCAGCATGTAATGGCACACAGGTAAAGCCATGGAACATGTGGCGACATATAGATTAACAGAAATGGGCTGAGTCTAAGTGTAAGAGCTAGTCAGTGGTAGGCCTGAGCTAAAGACTGAACAGTTTTAGTTAATATAAGCCTCTGTGTGTTTACTTGGATCTGAGCAGCTGTGGACTGGGTGGGACACAGGAAAACTTCTAGCTACGCCGGAGTTCCACTAACATGTCAAGTGTTCAATAATCATGTGTGCCTAGAGTTGCCACACTCAGTAACAGGTGTATTTCCACCATTGCAGGACATTCTGTTGGGGAGGGTTGATGCACAACATTGCTTCTGTATGCAGAGGCATGCGGTACTCTAGAATTCTTGCTGGCCTTTCTGGCATCAACCCGAGCTAAGACTGGAAACGCCCTACTCGTTTAACATGCTATCACACTATCACATGTACCTCTCATTTAATCCTCTTAATGGCCCTATGAAAAAGTCCTATAGCTACAGAGGAGGAAATGGAGGCTTGGAAAAGTCAAAATCGGAAGTTATCACGGGATGACACATTCCTTTTGGGAAAAGCACTCAGGCAGCTTGTGGTAGGGACCGTGTGGTGGAAGGGAAGACATGAGCTAGCACAGTAATCCAATGCTATAGGTGAGAAATATCGAGTCATTTCCTGAGGCTGGCACAGACTGAGGATTCCAAGCCGTGTAGCTTACGACAACAGGATCTAGTCTCTCCCAATGCCTGCCGAGCCCTTCCTCTAGTGAAGACCCGAGGAGAATCTGTCCTTGCTTCCTCTGGCTTTGGGCAGGTGCTGGAGTTCCTTGTCTTGCAGCAACAATCCTGCAAAGTCCTGCTGCCTCCAGCATCATCCACTCTTCTCTGTGTGTTTCTAATAAGTTCCTCTCTTCTCCTAAAGATCCCAGCCACTAGCCTATGGCTGACCCTAATGCAGTGCGGCCCATTTGACCTGCAAAGAGCCTACTTCCAATAGACACACACTCACAAGTGTGCCGGGCCAGGACCTCAACATACCGTAATACAGGACTCAATACCGCCCCCAAGTGGTGTGAGAACTGATACACAGAGAAGGTGGTAAAGGATGGGGGAGTGAAATTCAGACTATAACTGTACTTTATTAACATTCATGAAGCTTGAGAACTCTAAGACAACTCGGAGGTGTGTGATCATGGCCAAGAGAAGGGGAAAAACCAATGGCAGAAGTCCCGGGGGAGAAAGATGATGGTTACGCTTACAGGCCACCTAAGCTGGGTTTGCCATTAGAAAACTATGGAGGTAGGGATACAGATGTAGGGTACAGATCACCAGGGGTGAGAACACAAAGGACCACAGCTGCATGCCAGAGAAAGAGCTATCCCCTAAAGAACTAAGAATGTGAACCCAAGAGAGTAAGGACACCTGGAGGGCAGGCTGTGGGGCAAGTTCCAGGACACAGGTCCTTTTGGACTAAAGGAGTCATGAACAGTGTTTTACACTTATATTACTCCAGTTAATAGAAGGAATAAAAACGGTGATGACGTGGAAATCCAGACAAAGCTGGAGGATCTTTAGGTCCATCTCGGTCAGAGTGCATGCCGGGACAACTGCTGGGGACCAAGTGAATAAGCCGACCGGAACCGACTTCCATCAAGAAGCTTGTCTATGGAGAAAGCAGGCAGAAAGAGCGCTGTAAGCTGATATAAGAGCAAAGGGAGATGGTTTTTTCTGCTTGGTGTTGCTTAAGATGGGCTATTTGAGCTTATTTAGATGCTGAAGGGAGAGCTGGGTGGGATGATTCTAGAACAAACGAGGATTAATGTAGCAAACTGAAAAGAAATGAAGGGTTGAGAGTACAGGTTCTGATGGGAGGAGAAACACGTCTTCCCACTGAGAGGGGGGGGCAGACAGTGCCCAGTGGGAAATCTAGGAGGATGGGGCAGACATTTAACGACATTCTTATCTGCTGGTCTTTAGTTGCCTGTCATATATAAGGGGAGGTCATCAATAACAACGGTCTTAAAGAGTCCCAAGAAATACTCTTCTTTATGTGAGTGGTAGATTCTTTAATACTCTATCCTTTGAGATTAACATCTTTTATTATCAATCATGAAAGCACAAAAGACTATATAAATCATTTTGGCATGATCCTGAAATTCATTACCCAAGTTGTTTCTCTCCAAGAGATTTGCTTCTCTCCTTTGGATTACTATTTGAATTACTATTATTATTACTGCTCACATTAGATATAGGGAACTCAGCTGAGAGAGGTTCAGCTGGCAATTGTCACCTACAGGTTCCTAAGAGGCCTGGACCTCCTTAGCTGGGAGTCTCATCATTTCTTCATTGTTTCTCACAAATGATTTCATTGCCATCAGATAACTTAATGATCTCTCCCCACTAGAGACTTTTAGAAAAATTGGCTCTGTCTTGCTTCAAACCTTTATCACCAAGTGAGATGGAGATGTTAAAAGTTACAGGTTTGCTAATATAAAAAAAGATGATACAATTATGACCTAAAATATACCGTGGTGCTGGTCTTAAAGTGGAGGCAGACCCACCACCCGGCTGCTCCTAGCCTGATGTCAGCTGTCACTGCCATTGCAAGGAGAAGGGAATGATCCAAAGGAACCAGATCAGTTGAGGAAGCTGTTTATTGGTGAACTGAGCTTCAAAACTGCACATGGTAGTTTAAGAGAACCTCTTGAGAAATGGGGCACACCTGAAGATTGTGTGGTAATGAGAGAGCACCAAGCAAAACGTGCCAGGGGCTTTGGTTTTGCGACCTACCCTTGTGTTAAAGAGGTGGATGCAGCAATGTATGCTGGGCCACACAAGGTTGATGGATATATGGTGGAATCAAAGACAGCCATTTCTGGAGAGAATCCTGTAAGGTATGGTGCCCATTTAACAGTAAAGAAAATTTTTGTTGGTAGTATTAAAGAAAATACAGAAGACTATAATCTGAGAGACTACTTCAAAAAGTATAGCAAGATAGAAGTTATGATAGGCAGAATAGAAAAAAAAAGAGAGGATTTGCTTTTCTAACTATTGATAATCATGACACAGGCAATAAAACTGTTTTTCAGGAAGACCACACTATTAACGGGCATAATTGTGAAGTTAGAAGGACCCTTTCTGAACAAGAGATGCAGCCTATTAGATCACAGAGAGGTTGTGGATGTAGACCTGGCAACTTTATGGGTCGTGGAGGAAACTTTGGAGGTGGTGGAGATAATTTTGGTCATGGTGGAAGAGGAGGCTCTGGTGGAGGTCTGGTGGTGGTGATGGTGGATATAATGGATTTGGAGGGGACAGTGGTAACTATGGTGGTGGTCCTGGCTACAGTAGCAGAGGAGGCTGTGGTGGTGGTGGACGGGGATGTGGAAACCAAGATGGTGGATATGGTGGTGGAAGAGGAGGATATGGTGGTTACAATGGAGGAGGAAATTTTGGTGGAGGAAACTATGATGGCGGTGGGAACTATAATAATTTTGGAAACTGGACAACAGCAACCAAATTATGGGCCCATGAAGAGGGGCAGTATAGATGGAAGATGTTCAGGCTGTCCCTATGGTGGTGGCTGTGGATCAGGTGGTAGAAATGGTGGATGTGGCAACAGAAGGTTTTCAAAACAGCAGAAAAGGGCCACAGTTCCTGGCAGGAGAAGGAGGGGTTCTCAGGAACGTTCCTGTGGCCCTGAGAGAGTTGGCCCAAATGCACCAGAGGAACTGTAAACATCTGACACAGAAGGAACGATGATCCACAG